CTATCATGCTGCGCTTCATGTGATGCAACCCCTCATAGAAGTACTGAAGAAGGAGTTGCTCTGAGATCTGATGGTGGGGGAAACTCACACATAGTTTCTTGAATCTCTCCCAGTACTCATATAGATTCTCCTCAGGGAGCTGTTTGATGTCTGATATGTCTTTTCTAATAGCTGTGGTTCTTGATGCAGGAAAGAACTTCTCTAGGAACTCCCTTTTCAGGTCATTCCAGCTGGTGATAGAGCTGGGTGCCAGGTAGTACAACCAATCCTTAGCGACCCCTTCTAGTGAATGTGGGAATGCCTTCAGATATATGTGATCCTCCTGGACATCTGGTGGTTTCATGGTCAAGCAGACTACATGAAATTCCTTCAGGTGTTTGTGCGGATCCTCACCTGCAAGTCCATGAAACTTTGGCAAAAGATGGATCAACCCAGTCTTGAGAACATAGGGTACATCCTCATTTAGGATACTGGATACACAGACTCTCATAGGTAAAGTCAAGTGTAGCCAGCTCCCTAAGTGTCCTCTCACGAGGGGGAGGTTGAGCCATGTTCTCAAATATCAAAACAGAAGTAGAATCAGATTCAACAACAACAGAATCAATGGGGTTCTCTAAAGGTCGGATGAATGTCTATCAAGCCTAGCCTGCCTATGTAAGGTATGGTAGGTTCTATCAATCTCAGGGTCAAATGCATACAAGTTCTCAGAACTGCCCCTAGTTATGCACTACAAACGGTTGAATCATATAATGAGTAAACAGTGGAAACTAGGGGTAAAACTGGGAATACAGGCAATTGCCATTTAAATATTATGAGAAAATTCAGATGAGCCCCTAATATTAATAGAAGACTACACACAAAAATTCAGCTCAAAATAAATTCGTTTGATATTAAAACCAAAATGCAGATTAAATTGACAAAACATCAATAAAATAATAATAAAATTCATTTTTTTTTTTTGGATTAGAATACAATCAAATTCTGAATACAACTAAAGGATAATGAAACAAAGCTGAATCAACAGAGTTATAACTCAGATCAATTACAATTAACAGAATTAAATCACTTAAGCTAGAACTAGAACATTTATATGAGTTACACTGATCATAACTTCATTGCAAATTGATGTACTGTTTCGTTGCTTAAATGCTCAAGTGTTCAGAATTATGCAACCAGCACCCCGCAACCTTCAATTCAAACTCCCTGGAATGGCTACTTGCAATCTGAAATTCAAATTTACAACTTGCATTGCAATGACTAACAACAAACTAAATTTCCAATGCATAAGTGATATGCAAACTCACACACACAACAACAACTTACTCACACCAGAACAAGTGCTAATGTTATATTTCATGCTACTCTTCAGTCTGCACAGAACATAATTCAATCATAGAGCAGAGCAAGGGACAATACCAGTAACACAGAACGTGACAGTAACACTACAATTATTCCAAAAACAAACAGAGCAAGGCCAAACTGTTATTGTTGAGCTGTTCACACAAACTAAATTTTCTCTTTTCTATTCAGAACATAATAGGTCCCCCAACGATAACAATTAGTACCTCAATCAAAACAGAATATGAAAACAATATGAAAACCTTTGACAAATCGATAATTCTCCGGCAACAGCGCCAAATTTTTTATGAGAGCCGTACTTAATAAAAAATATTGCAATTAAATGCAGCTAGGGGTCGACCTAGATCGTCTCCCAAGGAATAGCAAATTCAATCAAAGGTTCCCATGAACAAAGAAATTAAAATTACCATCAGGGGGATTTTGCAAAAATCAAGTTCTTTCAGGAATTTTAACAAACACTTGCAGTAGAATAGAATAAAACACTATTAAAAAGGCAGGTTGATTTACCCAATCATAACTAATCAATTAAAAACCAAATACCAAGCTGAAGATCGGATTTGAGCTCATGATACACTGTTGGAAAGATAATTCTGTAAGGAACACATAGGGATGTTGCATGTCAGGTTTTGGAGATCACAGAAGTGAGAAAAATAGTCTCTTTTGCTACTGAAACACTGAAAACACAGAACAAGGAAAACACAAAACACTGAAAAATAGTCTCCTTTGATGTTGGTTTTGAATGAAACCACTTGCTTTTGAAAGATTTTTCACTGCACAATCCAAATATGCAGAGGTTAGGCCAAACAAAATATGTTCAGATGGTCAAAATTGACTCACACAGTGGCTGGACGCAGAAAGCTCCATGCTTTTTAATATATGAGGTATAAAAACTTCATCTCCTTGCTTTGATTGGTGAAAACATTGAGAAAGAAAGATGAAAGAGTGTTTTTACCTTGCTTGGATGTTCAGAGAGCAATCAACACACTCCTTTCAACTTGCAAGGGCGAAAAATGATTTTTCTTGGTGCAATGGAGGTTGCGATTTCAAGTTTTGTAGAAGGAAAAGTAGGAAGATCTTGCTAAAAGCATGGAGGGGGGGATTGCTTAAGTCTTTTGGCTATGGAAGATGGTGGTTTTTGGCCCTAAGCTTGCTAGAAAATGAGAGAAAATGGTGGGGAGAGAGAAGATAAACTAAGAAAGAGTGAGAAAGCTTTACAGAGGGAGAGAAAAGCAAGTAACTTGGTGAGGTTTTGCCACCTACATTGCATGTCCCTAAAAAGAACGTTGGATTGCCACCTATATTAAAATCATGTAGGGGCATCATGGACATTTCACATACTTAAAATCTAAAAAATAAAAATTTGTCTTAGTAAGTTTTTAACCTAGTTCCTCCGAATAGGTAAGACTAGCCTATCCACCACTACACCACCTTTGTTGGTGTTTTAGAAATTTGGAAATCAATTATACTAACAGGATTATAAATAATTCAAAGTATTAGAAAGTTTCATCTTTCTATAAATGAAACATGCATTTAAAGATGAATTATTTTAACAAAATAAAAATAAGTACTTTTATCTCAAAACTTATTTAATCAACATTGTAAAATTTTGCAAAATGCATTGAATTATCTCTGAAAATGATTAAATCGTGCTAACACACATAAATATGCAGGGAGACTTGAGTTCTGTGTTAAATTGCTCCGGGGTTTGTTCTTTTTTTCTTTCTAATCTCAGAATTGTGCATTAATTTTTCTGTTTTTAGAATTCAAATTAGGACTCGATTGATGCTTGATTTGATAATTAATAGAGATTAGAGTAAATGATTAGTTGATTTAATTTGTAACTCTATTTAATTAGGTTATTCGATTGAATTAATAATTGAATTGGGTGATTGTTCAAACTCAAATTTAAATCTTTAGATATTGTGATAGTTAGAGTTACACGCATTTAGTATTCTGTGGATCGATGTTTCTTAATTCATTTTTACTCAATTTTATTCTGTTCGTAATTAAATTCGAGTAATTTGTAATTTTTAAAACCCAAAAAATCTTATTTGCATTTTTTAAAAGAAAACCCAAATTGATAGAAGATTAGACCTTTGCAGTAGTCAGCACGCCCAGACCCTTCCAACAAGCATGGGCGTGCTTCGATCCCATGCATGGTCGTAATTAACGTTGGTGCAACGTGCTGTGAATGGTTCAGTGATACACTGGAGTGTAGAAGATGAGGATGGTAAAAATACCTAAGGGAAGGGGGAGTAGTGGTGACACCGACTGTGGGAGTGGGTGCACCATGGGCCACACACTCTCTTCCTGACTAGGCCTCTGAACACTACCTTTGCTGAGCGACCCATGACTGCCCACGTGGTATCTGTGAGGCGGGGGTAACCGGCGACCATCCATAGTGAAAATTTGTGATCACAGTGCCATAGTGAGCGTGGCTGCGTGCAGTGAGTGCGCACGTGTATGAATATTTTGGTGCCATGAGTGCATCGGTTATGAATGGAAATGAAATGCGTGATAATGCTGTTTGTGATTATATTGTGTGAGGTGTATTAGAAATAATGTGAGTTATGTGTAAGGTGAGACTCTATACTTGTTTGTGTGTTTGGTAGTGTAAAGTACTCACCCTTACATTCATTTTTTAGGTAATCAAGACAATTAGCACTGGACTCAATGATGGGTTGGATGGAACTGCTATAGGGCTTAACATGTTATTTTGAGACTGTTGTATTAGAAATGGTCCTGTAATAGTTATTTGATATAAACTTGTAACCCTTTCCCTATTTCGAAATATTTTATGAAACTTTTATTATTCCAAATTTGTGAAATTATTATTTATTTGAAATTAAATTTAAGGTGTTACATGCATAGCCTTAAGCATGACCATGCATGGGCTCAAAGCACCCCCGTGCTTATTGAATGGGTTTGGGCGTGTTGACTTCTGCGAAGCTCTAATCTTCCATCAATTTGGGCATAGAATGCATCCAAAATCCACTTGTGGCCTCTTTATACCAAACTGCACAATTAATATATAAATTAATGTAAAACTACAATAAAGAAAAGGTCAAATATGAATATATGGGCTGTAAAAGAGGGCCTAATTACAGACTTATCAATAAGTTCTCCCTTTTGAACATCAATTAAAGCTCTCTTATGGCTAGAAAAGGTCTACCTAGAGTTAAAGGGATGTCGACATCCACTTCTATGTCCAATAAGTTGCCGCGTTTCCCGGTCCTTTTCTTTTAGTGCTTCGACCCGAAGCGATAGCTTCTAGCTAGTATAAAAGGCAAGGGGAAGTGGTCTTTGCAGGTGGCCACATTTAGCTTCCTATAATCAATGCAAACACGCCACCCATTCTGAATTCTAGTGGGAATCAATTCATCTTGCTGGTTCTTCACAATGGTTATGCTGGTCTTCTTGGGTACTACATGTATAGGGCTCACCCATTCACTATCCGAAATAGGGTAAATAATGCCGGCAACCAGTAATTTGCTTACTTCTTTCTTCACCACCTCTAGAAGAGTGGGATTCAATCTCCTTTGGGGTTGTCTCACAGGCTTTGCATCATCATCTAGCAAGATCCTATGCATGCAAGTAGATGGACTAATTCCTGGAATGTTCGTCAGAGTCCAGCCTATTGCTTATTTGTGGGCTGCCAAAATCTGCAACAACTTCTCTTCTTGTGCAGCATCCAAATCTGCAGAAACAATCACAGGTAATTTATCATTAGCCTCTAAAAATGCATACTTCAAATGTTTAGGCAAAGGTTTCAATTCAAGTATAGGTGGTTGCACAATAGAAGGAACTGTTCTAGTGGAAACATCCAAATCTGCAGCAGCACATGTGGGAGCAGTGTTAGGTGTATGTGTACTTGTTGTAATCAAGCCAAAGCTTCCTAAATCTGCTCCTGTTGCATCATCCAACGAAACATCATTATCACCTAACAAGAATTCATCAATTTCAGCACATACTTTACATAATTCTACAGAGGTACATGTACAAGAATAATCATCAATCAATGCATCAGAATATTCATCAACTAATAAATCAATGATGTCTACATGGTATACACTATGCAACTCTGTAGGATGTTTCATGGACTCAAAAATATTAAAATGCATAACATCATCACCAAACTCCATGGACAGAATTCCTGAATGCACATCAATCTTTGTCCTTGTTGTTTTAAGGAATGGTCTACCAAGGATCAATGTGGGAATGCTAGACTCTTCTGCCATGTCCAGAATATAAAAATATGCAGGAAATATCAACTTATCCACTCTTACAAGGACATCTTCCACTACTCCAGCAGGGTGTGTGGTACTCCTATTTGCCAATTGAATGACTACACCAGTTGGCTTCAATGGACCAAGGTTCAAGGACCTATATATTGATGTAAGTATCACATTGATGGAGGCACCAAGATCAAGTAAAACATTGCTGAAGGAGGAATTCCCTATGGTACACGGGACTGTAAAAGTGCCAGGATCCTTGCATTTTGTGGAAGGTTTGGTTGAATGAGGGCTAACACATTTCTACCCATGCTAATCCTCTCATCTCCCTTGAGTCGCCTCTTGTTGGTGCACATCTCCTTGAGGAATTTTGCATATTTCGGAATCTGTTTTATGGCATCTAGAAGTGGAATGTTCACTTCTACTCTTCTAAAGGTTTCAAAAAGCTCCTTATCAAGATCTGTTATTAGCTTAGGCTTAGCCACTCTATTGGGAAAAGGGAGAGGTGGCTTATACACAACTTCAGAATCACTTCAAGAAGGTGTAGCCGCAGCTTGTTTTCCTTTGTCTTCTTGCTGCATCTTAGTCTCAACATCACATGGCATCTCCTTATTTTTCTGGCCATCCAACAGCTCCTTCCCACTCCTCAACACAATAGCACTCACATTTTTAGGATTAATCTCTGGTTGAGAAGGGAGTTGTCCAGAACCTTGGGACTTAAACTGATTTACAGTGGTAGCTAGTTGACCAATCTGAGTCTGCAAGTCTTGAATGAAAGCATTCACATTTTGTTGGAACTGCAGGTTGCTCTTTGCCATTTGCTTCACCAGGTCCTCCAATGAAGGTTCAGAATTTTGCTGTTATTGTCTCATAGGAGGTGGTCTATAAGCTCCACTTGCTTGTCCAGTGCCCTGTTGCTATTCAGAAACACCATATCTCATGTTAGGATGATAATTAAATGCAGGGTTATGAGATTGATACTGAAACCTGTAGGGGTGCTGCTGCCTCATTTGTGGTTGCTGGAAGTTAGAAGCTCTATATTGATCTTGTCTTCCACTAAAAACTCCTTGGACAGAGGCTTGTTGATTTCCCTCTTGAAGCAAGGGACAACAATCCGAAGCGTGCTCAATGGAAGAACATATTTGACAATCTCTCGGCCTTTGTGGTGCAGCTTGTTGGGCAACAGCTAGCTGCCTAACAAATGTGGTAAGCTCTTCGATTCTGCTCTCAAGTCTATTTTCTGCTGGCATATGGTAGGTTTGATGGACATTGTGAACCTCTCTCATAGGTGTCATGGCTCTTGTGCTAAACTGTTGAGAGTTCTCTGCCATGTTATCAATCAAAGCCCTTGCTGCACTAGGTGTCTTATCCATCAAGGCTCCACCATTGGTTGCATCAAGCATACTCCTCTCCATTGGAGCAAGGCCTTCATAAAAGTATTGAATGAGTAACTGGTCACTAAACTGATGGTGTGGACAGGTGGCACACAACTTCTTGAACCTCTCCCAGTACTCATACAAGCTCTCTTGGGAGATCTGTCTGATGCCACTTATCTCCTTTCTTATAGTTGCAGCTTTGGATGCAGGGAAGAACTTCTCCAGAAACATCCTCTTCATGTCCATCCAGCATGTGACAGACGCTAGCTGCAAGTAATACAACTAATCCTTGGCTGCTCCATCCAGTGAGAAAGGAAAGGCCTTCAGCTTGATATGATCTTCAGGAACTCCCTGCGGCCTCATGGTCGAGCACACTATATGAAACTCCTTAAGGTGTTTGTGAGGATCTTCACCTGTACTACCATTAAACTTAGGCAAAAGGTGGATTAGTCCAGACTTAAGCTCAAAAGGAACATCTATATCAGGATATTGAATGCCTAATGGTTGGTAGGTAACATCAGGTGCAGCTAACTCTTTAAGTGTTCTCTCGTGATTATTATGTGCCATGGTATCAGAATGGGTGGACAATATATTAGAAATAGAAGTGCCAAATTCAGAATCACTAAAATAAGAATCACTGCTCAGATCAAGTCTACAATGCTCTCTACTATGACTCTTATCACTACTACTATGATGCACACTACTTTGACCTCTCTGGAGTCTATGATATGTCCTATCTATCTCAGGATCAATGTCAAATAAATGCTCAGACCTAGACCTAGTCATACAAGATCACAAACATCAAAAACAGCAAGCACACAATGCATGAATAATGTCACTTTACAAAGCAAGTACCAAGCAGAGGTGGGAAAATTGGAATCTAACTTGATGATAAATCTATTTTTGATGTAAGATGACACCACAAAAAATTTCAGATGTTTTTTAGTACAACAACTAGGTCAACTGGATGCCTAAAATCAAGAAAAATAGGTCAATAAACACTAAAAAATAAAAAAAACTTTTAGAAAACATGCGATTTTTGAAAATCGGGGAAACCTCAACCGGCGGTGCAGGTTGCAGTGAATAGGAAATTTTATTCTACCCCAAAGTCATGTGCGGTGGAAAAAATTCTGACACTCCTAGCAAAAGTTATGACACTTTTAAGTTGCACAAAATTTTTCTTCACCACCAAGATGTATCTCCTTGTGTACAAAAGCTTTTTCAAAATTCGACCATTTACTATTTTTTTGGAATTTTCAAAATTAGTGAATAGTAAATGAATAGTGCAATTCAGCAATGCATAATGATTTCTACTAGTCCTCTGTTTTTGTGATTTCTGTTTTCAGCAACAGTAAGGGCAATGCAACATACACCACAAGAATTGGACTTAATCACAATTATACAAATGAACACAGAATGCAAAATCACAGAATTACACAATCAGAAAACAGAATGCACTATCGAAATGAAACAGAAACATAATTTCAGAACAGAATTACACAATTGCAGAATTCAAAACGACACAATGCTACAGGTATACAACATAATCCAATGCAAATGAACTAAACACAAATCACAGATATAATTCGCACAAAATGAAGAACACTTGAACACAGAACGCAGAAACTATCAAAATCGATACCACACACAGAACGGAAATGCTACACAACTAACAACTCGAAAATGAATCAAAAGCTACAACGTGTCCCCGGCAACGGCGCCAAATTTGATTTAGTTTTATCGAACACTTATCAAATGCACAAGGTTTTCGCAATTATTTGTAGAATAATGTCAACCAAGGTTGAATTCTCGAGGACACGTTTGTATTTAATTCTTCTTTGCCGAATTGTTAAAATGAAACAAAAGATTGGGGAATTTTGAAAGTTTAAGAATAATCTGATCAAACGCATAAAATTCTGGAATAAAAGAGAAATCAAATGAGAATTAATTGATCCACAAGTCGTAGGTTCATGCAAACAACATCCTTCATTGTTTCCCTAGTTTGAATATCTAATCCATTAACTAATTCAATCGAATTTGCTAACAAACTAGATTACGAATTTGACTAATAGATCTATCAATCTAATTCAATTTCATGAATCAAACTACAATCGCAATTCAATTCAATTCCTATCCCCAAACATTGTCAATATCTTGAAAACGAAAGAGAAGAGGAGAAAAGAGAATTCAAACTTGGAGCCACTCTGAATCTTCCTTGCAATTCCCTATTCCTTGTGTATCAATCCAAGAAGCCTAGCCTTCCATTGAATCCAATGCTCAGCCAAGTCAAGAAGAGAGAAGAAGAAAGAAGAAAACGAAAAGTCACACTAAGAGAAGAGAGAGAATTTTAGGAGCCAAAACCGAATTTAAAAATGTGTCAAAACAAAAACAAAAACAAAACCCAAAACGTTTGCAAAGTGGAGCCTCTAACATATTAATAGGCACCACTTATGATCAGATCCAACACTAAAAGGAAGGGCCCACAAGTGTGATTAAATAGGCCAAATTACAAGCTAATGAAATGTTAATACAGATGAAATGAAATTACAAGAACAAAATTCAAATACAAAAATTCTTGCACAATTTTCTTAACTTCAAAAATTCATAGAAAATAGAAAACAGCTCCAATTTGGACGATCTGCATATGAATTTTATAGCCCAGAAAATGAGGAATCCAATGCAACTAAATCATACCGAACGGACATCTGTGGAAAAAGTTACGATCAAAACAGTGAGTGCAGGTCTAAAAACAGAATTTAGACATTAATTGAAATTGAGTTCCTATCATCCAATTAACTAGGAAATGCCATAATTTGTGAAATAATGGAACATGAAAGGTAATTTACACACTCTAAAGGATTGAAAATGTGCACAAATAATGCATGCTATCACTAGGTTCATAACACCTAGCTGGAATCGAACTTGTTCAGCCCAATCATCATAATTAAGCCCATTGAACTTAACTATGCCATTGCTTATGCCATACGCATTCATAGAGATTGAATCCATTTAACACATGCTTAAACACTTATGCTTTGAATAAACTTAATGGATTTGGACAGTCAACTGTCATCAATTATGCATCTAAATTTACCTTTGGGTAATGCCTAAATACACAATTTATCTATAATGATGCTAATAAACAACTTTAATTGACAACCAGTCACTCAAACCAATATGCAAGTCATCTTTGGATATACAAACATATTATGAAGTGCTTACATGTCTCCTTAATGTCATTAATCATATGAAATGATCCACCTTTGGGCGATCTCCTAGCGTTATAATTAATGAGCTAAATTGTTCACTCGTTGTTTCTATATAGCATCAAACAATTTTGAACAATTTATAACACACAATTAAATGCTTAAAGAACTTTTAAAGCTAGGCCACTTTGGTGACTAACAAGCTACCCTTAAAATTAAGCACTCAATTGTGAATTTCTCATTATGATAATGCAATTTAGAATTAATTAACTTGAGAATTTAATCACTTTGGTGAGTAAATTCACTTTGATGTAATTCTAAAATTATCTATATATTTTATGAATTATATTCCTTATTCTGCTGTAAAATTTCTATGCACGGCCATGCTTTTACTTAATCCATGGCCGTGCTTCGATGAAGCAAGGCTATGCTCATCTCTGATGCATGCCCCTGCTTCTTGAAGCATGGTCGTGCTTCCTGATGCATGGCCGTGCTTATAATTGATGCATGGCCATGCTTACAATATGTAAGGTCGTGCTTCCATTATGCAAGGCCGTGCTTCGCTGAAGCATGGTCGTGCTTGTTCCTGATGTGTGGCCCTGCTTATGTTAAGATTCAAAATCCAATGTTTCTAGCTTCCCAAACCTTAGGGTTTTCAATTATTGAATCCAAAGCAATTATTCAACATCAAAATAATGCCAATCCATCATATAAAATACCTAGGGTTCATGTAATTTGGGAAAAAGTTTAATGGAGAACCAATCTCGTATGGAGAATCAATGAAATTCACAACCTAGCTCTAATACCAACTGCTAGAATTTTCTTTAATCCATTATGTAATTTCTATTGTGCAATGACTATTATGAAATTACCTTTTCCTTTGAGATCTTGAATTATGTTACTCTCACAACACAATATATGGTTCTCATACAATTAAGGGTTTAAAGAGCACTAACCTGAATCCATTGTTCCTTGATGTTACCTCTTTCTTTGATGTCATTGATTCCTTGGTATTTTTCCCAACTCTTCCTTCCTCTTTTAGCTCCTCTCGGATGGTTGAGAGAAAGTTCCTTTATGCATTTACCGTGATATGAGAAATAAACTCAATTTCAGATATGAGAAATAAACTCAATTTCTATTGATGAAGATTCCTCTAACAATTGAATGAAGAATTAGTTCACAATTGCATTAAGAACATAATCACATACTCAATTCAATTAAAATGTCGAGGTCCAA